GATTTTTTTTTGTTCCTCTAGTATACCAATTCGGGTCTACATAAGAGAACATAAGAGACCACATGACACCGAGCTGTTTCGGTACCTTCAACTCCACCATTGGATTAAATCCTTGGCTACCAAGAGGGACCCGAAACATCCTCCCTCCTGTTTTGAACATCTATGTCTCTATTCCCCAGAGGGACGTGGACTGGTTACAGTTCTATATTCCCAACTAAATAGGCTTTCGAGCCCTACCTCTCATTAAATGGGAACATGACCTGGGCCACTCCTTGTCGGAGAAAGAATGGAAAAGCATGTGGCATAATATTATGAGGTGTTCTCTAAATGTTACAAATGCAGAAGTAGCTTATAAAGTAATGATGAGATGGTACATGGTACCCTCCCGTATTGCACATATGCCTGGGGCGAGTTCCGGAAATTGCTTCAGAGGGTGTGTTATCCCTGGTGATATGATCCATATCTGGTGGAAGTGTTCGTTTGTGACCACATTCTGGACAAAAATCTTTAAGTTGTTTTACTTGATGTTTAATATTCAGATCACATGGGATATTAAATATGCCCTCTTTCACTACTGCATCCCAGAATTGAACAAACATCAAAAAGCTCTTTCCCATTTTATTTTTCTGATGGCACAGCTAACAATAGCTGGTAGCTGGAAGAAGCAGCTGATACCCTATAGTGAGTTTGCTAATAGAATGGATGTTATGCTAAATGAACGTTTAACGAGTATTCTGATTGATAAACACCCTAAATTCCTCAGTGTCTGGGAACCCTGGATAAGATGCCAACATCCTGACATGAACTGGTCTAGCTTCCGTGGTATTTGAGGACTTTGGGAGGGGACTATGCAACTGACTGTATCATAAATGACTTACAAGTACTATCCTGGGCTCCCGCCTCCACTGCGGTTTCAGGGGAGCTACAATATAGCTGTGAGGTTGCTTTCTTAAAATGTATCTGTCTTACTACTTTTCCGGGCTGAGCCCCTTCTTTTCTTTTCTCTCTCTTTAGAAGTTTACATTTTTGTTTATACCTACAACAAGATGACGCAGAAATACTGTAAGGGTTGATCACTTTGTATACACCTGTGCTACTTACCTTTGCAGTGCCCTTCCTTATGATATTATTATAATTTCTGGATACTTATGTTCATTGTTTAATTCTATATGACATTTGGACTATGTTTCTTACTATGCAGTGTCTTTGCACAATACTTTGTAAACGGCTTGTTGTATGTAATCATCTCCAAGATTATATCTTATTGCTACAAAAAACCAACCCCAAAGTGTATGTACTGTATAGCCAAAACTTTGTAAAATGTTGGTGGATGAATTTATTACAGGTATTTATATAGCGTCGACACTTCATGTAGCCAGTGGTGTATTCTGGTTTGGGGCTGCCCTAGGCAAGACAAAACTGGGCATCCCCCCCCCCCACACTAAATGCACCCCACCCGGCTGTGGTCTCAGGTGGGCTCTGCATGGTTTGTGGTGGGCTTTGCAGGCAGCAGAGCCCCCTATGGATTCTGCAGAGCCCACCAGAGATCCTGCAAAGCCCCCTGAGACCCGGCAAAGCCCCCCCACAGATCCTGCAGGATCTCAGGAAGGCTCTGCAGGGTTTGTGGTGTGCTTTGCAGGCAGCGGTTATACACACAATAAGGCCCTATTCATATCTGTAGGTTTAGGTGTGATTAGGGATTCCTGCATCAGAAACTTGCGTTTTACTGCAGCAGAAATCCCAAGAAATTCAAGTTAATGATCAGGTGACAGTAGCTCCATGTAAATGCCTGCACACCACATGTAATGATACTTGATATGATTATATGCGGTTAGAAAACACTCTCCCTGGATGCACAATCATTGCGTCCAGGGAGATTGATTGATTCTTAACTGAATGTAAACATATCACGTATCTTTACATGCGGTGTGCAGGAGTTTACATGCAACTGCGTCAACCCCAGTCAGTGTCCCCCCCACACACATTTAATATAACTACCAGTGCCACCCCCCCTAAAATACAATATAGAGCCCCTGGTCCCCCTCTCCTGCTTACCTTGTTGCAGGGAGGAGGCTGTGAGGCGGCACGTTGGTCCCAGTGATCGGTGGTCGATTGGTCCCAATCGATCCTGCACAATCCTTTTGGCCAGCGTTCACTGAAAGAGCACTGGCCGAAAGGATCCTGGTGCCGGCGCAGACTGAGCTGGCTGCGGATCACAAAGTACCGGGACAATTGCGGCACGCGGGCTGGTACATTGAGACCCCGGCATTTTTGCCGCTCCCTAGGAATCTGCCGCCCGAGGCAAACACCCTGTTTGCCTCGGGGCAGATACGCACCTGCATGTAGCGCTTTACATAGTGCACATTCACATCAATCCCTGCCCTCTAGGAGCTTACATTCTAAGGTTCCTATGTAACATGCATACCTACGAGGGCCAGTTTAGACAGGAGCCAGTTAACCTTCCAGCACTTTGGAGTGTGGGAGGAAAGCAGAGTACTGGGAGGAAACCCATGCAAGTACAGGGAGAACTTGCAAACCAGGGACCCACAGTGCTGTAAGGCACAAGTGCTAATCACTACTGCTATGAAAGTAACATGCATTTCATTTTTTTATAAATATATTTAGATAAACAAATGATGATGCAGTAACATGTGCACTGCATCAGCGGAGCAGCAGGTACATTGCACAGGATGTCATGGGCTAGAATTTTTTTTCCCAATCTTAATCTCTTTGACATACTGTAAACCAGTTCAGTAATTATTAATATTGACACCATCATACAGGCTCTACCCCCATTTTAAAGACTCTGATATTGAGGGTATTAAGCTCTTTGAGCAGAGCTGGCATTTGATAATAGCAATCCATCTATCATAAATAAAATGAAAAAGCAGCCACTGAAACAATTCAATATATTATAATCAATTTCTACGTTTGGTTGGTAACTTGAAACAACTACAATTGAAATTACCACCTTCAGAAAGAAGAAAAGGTGGTTAAAGAAGCTACTATAACAAGCAATTTCCCTTTAATCTAGCCAAAAGGCTTTGCTTTATTGTGAATGAATTTTCATTATTTTGTATCTAACACTATCACCAAAACACCCCCTCTAGAAATTGACAACGTTGTCAACCACCACACATTAAAACCTCTCTGGTAGCATTCTTAAGTATACACTGATGGCGATCGCTGTTAGTTGCGGGGAGCACACTTTAAGTATATATTGAACAGTTCTCTGGAAAATAGTGCGCTTGATTTATATTCTTCCGGTTAAAGATTCTGCAATCATGATTATGTGGTTCATATGCTTCTGATAGATAGCTGTATCCTTCATTCATTCAAGATTTTTCTTCTAAGTGACAACTTTGTGCCACATTGTACAGACAATATAACGATTCTAGCATCAACGGGATCAGCAAGACATACAGTATCTCATTGCACGATTGATCAGGGACGTGTGGTCAGGGGAGGCAGGCGAGGCAGAGCCTCACCTAGTATTAATGAAGGAAAAAGCTGTCAGCTTCAAGTCTGAAGCTGACAGCTTTTTCTCCATTCAGATCGGCTTCTATCAGGTTAAACAGCAGGAAAAGCCTCCCCTCTGGGTAACCTGTCATGGACAGAGCGCTGCCTGTTAATTACAGGCGGCGCTGCATCCAGCTTTTGACAGGTAGTTAGGTTACACAGCAGTGGGCTTTTAAAGAAACCTATGACTTCTCTCAGTAGCTCCTGCATCACTCCACATTTATATCTACTCTTGGCCGTGCCCATGGTTTTTTTTAATGAAAGTCGGGACATTTACTTTTAAAAATTGAAAATGGCTAAGATTATAGCCATTGTAAATTGTCATTACTAATTTAGAAATTACATAATATGAAGCCATTTATGGAGTAAATAGGACCCTGTCTATGTATCCCAAAGGAGCACACTATCTATGTCCATACCATACTCACTGGTATATTTCTGGATTAAGAAACAGGACAGCCTGGAGGAAACCAAAAGAAACACAGGCAGAACATAAAAATATTTCAACAGATAGTGTCTCAATTACATTTTCAATGTGGAGTGCAAATCTTCAAGGCTAAAGGGCTAACCCCTGAGCCAATATGCAGACTGCCTCAAAAACATTGGGAGTGACAGACCATTAGATTGTGTGTGCATCATGATCATATGATGTGAATGTTCATGGACAATGAAAGGAAAATTTTATTCTGTAACAAATGTAACTAGTACGGAAACATTTTGTAGTATAATGTTAATAAAAATGTCATTTCAGTTTGGAGGTAGCTATGACTTTCTAAAATTATCAATATCATTTTTTATTTATTACCACCATGTAAAGCATGTTCAAATCTTTGTGACTATAAGCTTTTTTCTATAGCATTGGTAGTGATATGCAATATCAAGACTCCTGAACTAAGCAAAGTTATAAAACTGCAATAACCCTAAAGTCACACAGATTTTAAAATACTTTGTAAGCTAGAAATACATGTGGAATGCATGAGTTAACACCTTTTTTTCAGGGACACACTTATTGATATAATAGTCAGCCGGTGGAGCTACACTATGTGGCAGGGGGATACAGGCATCTCACAAATTTATAGGTGTGAGATACTGAAGAACCGAACAGCTTGTGTGGCCCTGCAAAAGAGTAAAGATTGAAGTTACAGGTGGGACTGGAAAGTATTATTAACAATCTTTTGTGGGCTTTTTTTTTGTTGGAGTATTTTCAAGTTAATTTTAGAGTGTTGATAGAAATTGTTGGTGGTAGGTTGCCACCATCTAGGTGCAAAACCCCTCAAGGCATACATACACAGCTTTTATTACTTTGTATTATACTTTCATAATAACAAAGGTTTTTATGACACTCTGCATGGCCACCTGACTGAGATATTGCAGGTCTTGAGAGCAAATGCTGGTTAAGACTGGTGGAAATTGTCTTAACATTTTCATGAATTGGGGCCAGTATGCTACCAGATTCTCTCTTTTATCATGTTAGGAGAAACCATGCTTATCAGCATTGCAGATGTTTTTTCAGCACAGGAAATGTGACACTAATTAAAAGTTATGCGGATTTGTACAAATAATACGCATTTCAGTAAAATATTTAGATGAATATGTTGTACTTTCCATTGTAATCTAATCATGTTGTATCTGCAAGATTCTCTCTTTCAATCACGCCTGCAGGTAATATCTGAGAAAACATTGTTATTTCTGAAGTCTTTATATTCCAGCAACATGCGTAGCCCAAGAGATAACTAAATCACCATAGAATCTGCAGGCAATTTCAACATAATACAACGGCGTGCATGCAAAGGTGGCATTTCAATCATGGAAGTGATGCGTCAGTAGTAATTTGACTTTTAAGAACATACTCGATTGCGTTTCTAAAATGAGATTGTGTCAGAAAGTCCACTGTAATATCAGCTAAAATATCAGCTAACACTGATCTCGCAGGCAAGGTTTCATTTTTATGGTAGAATGTTAAAACACTTGAATCGTAAGGTACACCGATATAAACAATATTAACCATATAACCTTGAAAGCGTGAGTTCACCTAAAAGTTATATGTTAATTTCAAATGCAGCTTGTCAGGTAAATCAGTTCTTGCCTTTTTATATGTATTTTATACTGCAAGAGCCAGATCTCCGTGCCATAATTCTTCACTCTACCTGCACGCTTGGGAGTTCACACGAAACTTTGCATGTTCTAGCCACCAATTTTTCATTTTCCATAATACAAAACTCTCCAACAGTTAGAGTAGGAACCCCATTTAAGAGGCACAAGAGGTATGCAGATCCAGGACAATAGTGCTGAGATCTTACAAATAGTCCCTGAACTATTAGATAGACTTTCTTGGTTTTGGTAGACTAATCTTTTAAGATTTGTGTACTACTTTGCTGGCAGCAAATCCGTGTTAATTAAATGGGTATATATAATATTATGGGTATATTTATCATACTGATTTAACCCTTTTACTCCCACCAATGTGGGGTTACAGTGGTTGCAGCAGGCCAACTCTATGACCCTTACAACAGCATGGTCTTCTAAAGGTTGTAAGCTCTTAGTTGCTTCAACAACAATAGCTTTACACCCAAGTGGTTCCTAACATCTTCACTTTATGTTAATGAATGTGATCAGCAGGTAACAAGCTACTGATCACATCCACAAAGTGTGTAAAGTACAGCAGCCACTACTTCTCTAAGTACCACTCTGCAGATGGCTGCCAATCGCACTTACAAGCCTGCACCAGGCCTGTAACCCCTGTCACTCTCTCCCCCTCCTGCTGCTTCCCCCAGCTCTTACTGGTAATTCTCGGCTGTCAAAATGTCAAAATGACTGCTGGGACTTTGTATGCCTGAAATCTAGCAAACTGAAACTATTGTAGCAACTAATAAAATATGAGCTGTTCGTTGAGTTGTAATGTTAATAGCAATTTTCTAGAGCCATTTGAAGTAGTAAATCTTACATATAAAACATGAACAAGGCTCAACTGTGAGTAAAGAGCAGCCTTGCAGTATAAAGTTTATTTATTTAAAGAATATTTATTCAGAATAGTCAAGTCTGATTTAAAAAATATTTATACCAATAAAACACTATATAGATGAAATCTTTATTTTCCCTCAGTATCACCCCCAAAATGTCATATTCAGTGATGTCATAGTATAGTAAATGACCATAGCTTTCCACATATCTCGATATAGAGATATAGGGAGCGATGAAAAGAGTTTGACATGTTTCATGGACAATTTTTTTCTTCCTCAGGAATGAGGTGGACATATGAGTCCATTTATAATAAAACTAGCAAGCTTATGTATGTGGCCATTAAGCCTCTTGACCACAGAGGACCTTAGGAGACTCTCAAGGAAAAGGAATACTCATCTTGCAATCAATTGTCCAATCCATATTACTCATTATTATTATTATACAGGATTTATATAGCACCAATAGTTTGCACAGCGCTTTACAATATAAGGAAGACATTACAGTCACAATACAATTCAAGACAAGATGGTAAGGAGGGCCCTGCCAGGGAGGGCTTCCAATCTAAAAGGGAGGGGCAAGTGATACATGAGGAGGTAGCTGCGCGGGGATGATTGTTTGAGAAAGTGATTGTTCAGTAGTTAGGTTGAGGTGGGATAGGCTTCCCTGAAGAGATGAGTCTTAAGGGATCGCCTAAAGGCAGTCAGTGTGGGAGATAGACGGACAGGTTGGGGTAGAGAGTTCAATAGTATGGGAGACACTCTAGTGAAGTCCTGGAGGTGAGCATGGGAGGAGTTGATGAGGGAGCTGGAAAGCAGGAGGTCTTGTGAAGAGCGGAGGGGACAGTTAGGGTAATACTTTGAGACGAGGTTGGAGATATAGCCGGGGCCAGAGTTGTGGATGGCTTTGTATGCGGTTGTTAATATTTTGAATTTTATCCTTTGGGCTATAGGAAGCCAGTGTAGGGATTGACAGAGGGGGGTTGCAGACACTGAGCGGTTGGTTAGGTGAATGAGTCTAGCAGCTGCGTTCATGATAGACTGAAGGGGGGATATCCTGTGTAGTGGAAGGCCAATGAGGAGGGAGTTGCAATAGTCCAGACGAGAGATAACAAGGGAGTGGATGAGTAATTTTAGCGGTTTCATTGGTGAGGAAGGGGCGTATTTTAGAGATGTTACGAAGGTGAAGGAGTCAGGATTTGGATAGTGACTGGATGTGGGAAAGAAAGGTGAGGTCCGAGTCAAGGATGACACCTAGGACCTTGGCATGGGGGGAGGGCTGGATAGTTGTGTTAACAATCTCAAGGGAAAAGTTGGGGGAAGGTGCACAGGCAGGAGGAAATATCATGAGCTCAGTTTTTGAAAGGTTGAGTTTTAAGAAGTGTTGCGACATCCAGACAGATGTGTCAGTTAGTAGATTAGTGACACGCAAGGACACTGAGGGGGAGAGTTGCGGAGTAGAGAGATAGATTTAAGTGTCTTTGGCATAGAGATGGTATTGGAAGCCATGTGAGGAACTGACCAAGAAAGGAGGTGTAGATAGAGAAGAGAATGGGTCCAAGGACAGAGCCTTGGGGAACCCCTACAGAAAGAGGAAGAGGAGGGGAGGAGTTAGATTTGTAGGTGACACTAAAGGAGCGCTTAGACAGGTAAGAGGAGAACCATGAGAGAGCAGAGTCTTGTAGGCCAAGTGAGTGGAGTTTTTTGAGGAGGAGCAGGTGGTCCACGGTGTCAAAAGCAGCAGAAAGGTCTAATAGCAAGTGTAAGGAATAGTGGCCATTGTTTTTAGCTGTTGTTAAGTCATTAGTGAGTTTTAGGAGGGTGGTTTCAGTGGAGTGTAGGGGGCGAAAGTCGGTCTGTAAGGGATCGAGAAGGTTGTTATCAGCGAGGTGGCGGCTCAGGCGGCTGTAGATAAGGCGTTCTATGAGTTTGGAGGTGAATAGGAGTAAGGAGATTGGTCTGAGATTGTTAAGATCGGTAGGGTCCATTGATGTTTTTTGGGGTATTGGGGTGACCAGGGCATGCCTTAGAGGGGAGGGAAAGATTCCAGTAGAGAGGGAGAGATTGAAAATGTGAGTAAGTGAGTGTGTGGTAAATCCTTTCTTAGATAGTTGTTACTGGAACAAGACTCCCCATTGTAAAATTTCCCCAATATTCCGGTTTTATTAACAATTCAAAAGGTAGAATTGTTCTTCACTTTCAGCCCTGGTGATAATGGTCACTATGACAAACTGAAGGGGTGACTTTTCCCAGAAGGGACACAGACAGGGGGTTTTAATGCCACATCTTCCTATCCAATACACCTTAACCACTTGACTACCAGTTAGTACTCCATTACCAGGCCATGTTTTACTTTCCAGTTGTTTTGGTTTGATTGACAATTACTCAATCATGCAACCCTGCGCCCAAATTAATTTTATAACATTTTAATACAGATAGAATTTTCCTTTGGTGGTATTTTATAACAGCTGTTTTTTTTTTTGTTTTTTTTCACTATATGAAGGAGAACAACCAGAAAAAAAACCCTCCCTTTCTGTTATAAAGGAAAATAAAATAAGAATTCCAGGACAGTATGAAAGCCCCGCACAATGACTCCTTTTTGGACAGTAGACACCTCAAGCTGATTTCATTTTTTGTCACAATTTTTTTGCAAACGAAAAAACATGCTAATAGCTAAACAAATGATGCTTGATAATGGTGCACTAGATATAGCACATCATTATTGCACAGGTCATATACAGAGGAAGGAGAAGTTGAAGGGGTTAATGTACAGGTCACATACGGTGGGAGGATGGAGACGAGGAGTTAATATGCAGGATAAGGGAGGTGAAGGGTTAATATACACTACAGAGACTGGAAGGAGATCAGATGTACAGGAGAGGAGCAAGGAGGGGGGAGGGTTGAAAAAAAAAGATTCCCCTGTCAATTACATACAATCCTTCAGCATGAATCATCTGCTGCTGCTGATCCCTTCATTTACAAATATTAGTTGATAAATATTCACTTCCTTTCCTTCCCCCATTATAAGAGGAAATGGTGAGGTTCACCCTGCTTGCGTGGAGAGCACCCGAAGACACATGAAACAGTTCAGGCAGGGATGGAGGGATGGATGGAGAAAAAGGAGACCCAGGAAACAGTTAGGGCAGGCAGCAGACAAACATAATCAGAAGAACTAGCTAAGTCAGTACGTGAGAGATCAGTCCATGGGAAGCCAGGTCAGCCATAACCACCCAGAAGGGGCTGAGGAACAAGTGTTGCTCAAGCAAGTCTGAGAGGGATTTAAATAGGGAAACAGATAGGAGGCAGTACAGGAAGTAGCAGGGAGGAAGATATATTGACCCTCAGGTGAAGCGGGCAACACCTATAACTGCTAACACAATGCAGCAAGAGGAGAGCACATGCTTGTGGATTCACAGGTGCCAGCAGACTGACAGTAGCAAAAAGGTCAAATCAAATGCAAACCGTGAGACAAAGATCAGCTCCTCTGTAGTGAAATTTATAAACAGCACTGCAGAAATAAACGTCCACCACTCTGC